CATGACTCCAACTCCTCCACGACTTTTGTATTCGGCAAACCGGCACAGCTGGATCCAATCCGACAGCATAAAATCCTCCACGATCGCGATGGTAATAGGTCGGATCATGCCATTGGATTTGGAATGTTCCTAGGACGGAGTAGTTAGTGTGTCCAAGCTCCCAGATGCATACGGAGAGATGTCCGCCCCTTAAGTACCACAGATAGTAGTGTGCCTCACTCGGCAAATCCGTCGAAGAAGTTGATCCATCATCCGATGCCCCCCCCACCATTCATGAAATTTATAATCCAGTCGGGTAAATTCATGAATCTTTTGAATATCGAGACTTGCTCTTGTCATGCTTTGTGATATCCTCTCGGCTTGGATATCTCGCAGCTCGAATACTAAATTGTCTTGACGCTCGGAAATCCCCCGAGGATCCGCCAAAAGCATAGAAAACGCCATTTTCGGGACTGGCTAAACCTTGTGAAACGTCCGAGGATGTCCTCCTCAAAAGGATCCTCTCCAGAACCATCCTGGAAACACAATGCCGAGAGCGTTGCGCACGACACAGACTCCATCGCGGAGTCTGTCTCGTCGGTCAACACCCAAACCGATCACGATGCCTTGGGCAAAACTTTGACGGCGCACGCCTCGCACGCCTCGGGGCACATGTCGCTATCACAACGGGTCACGACCATCCAAACAAATGCAACCTCCGATCCTAACTTCGAGGTGGACTGGGACGGCGACGATGATGCGGAAAATCCCAAAAACTGGAGTTTCTCGTACAAGGCCATGGCTTTGGCGATGCTCTCAATCAATACGCTCGTTGTGTAAGTCTGATTGCAACACTTTTTGTCGGTTTAACTAATATTCAAAAGTGTGTTATACTCCACCTCTTACACATCGGGAACCACTTTAATTGCCAACGAATTCAACCAATCCGAAACTGTTGTCACGCTAGGCTTAACATTATACCTATTTGGATTGGCTATCGGATCCATGTTTATGGCTCCTCTCAGTGAGGTTTATGGCCGGAAGCCCGTCAGCGTAGGCTGTCTGTTCATGTCAGCCGTCTTGATTATCCCCTGTGCCCTCGCCAAGTCAGTTACCACATTGATCGTCGTCCGCTTCTTCGGCGCCTTTTTCGGAAGCGTCATGATCTCGACTGCGCCCGGAATGGTCGCAGACCTGGTGGATGATGATCATCGTGCCCTGGCGATTTCTATCTGGAGTATTGGGCCATTGAACGGACCAGTTCTCGGTCCTGTTATCGGCGGGTTTGTCACACAATATCTCGGCTGGCGCTGGATGGACTGGATTGCGCTCATGCTGTCCGCCGTGGCGCTTGTCTTTTCGATTATCATGAGGGAAACCTATGCACCGGCCATCCTCCAACGAAAAGCCGCCAAACTACGCAAGGAAAGTGATGATTCCCGCTGGTGGTCACGCTACGACCAGAAGGCAAGCCTCACTGAAATCCTGAAGCTGAATCTGAGCCGTCCGTTCGTCATGGCTGTCACCGAACCCATCTGCATCTTTTGGGATATCTATATTGCCATCGTCTACGGCATTCTGTACCTGTGTTTCACGGCCTACCCGATCATCTTTCAAGATATCCGTGGCTGGAGTTTGGGGTTATCTGGTCTCGCGTTTTTAGGCATCGGGATTGGCACGCTCATCACCATCGCCTGCGAACCTCTCATCCGCCGCATGATCAACCGTCACAAAATCGACCCGGAGACTGGCAAAGTCTACCCAGAGGCAATGGTGTCGATCGTCTGTGTCTGCGCCATTTTGATCCCTATTGGCGAACTTTGGTTTGCTTGGACCGGCTCTCCGACTTCGATTCCTTGGATTGTGCCGTTGTTGGCCGGTATTCCCTTCGGCGCAGGTAATACAGGAGTGTTTATCTACGCCTCCAACTACTTGACCTACAGCTATGGCATGTATGCTGCATCTGCGCTGGCAGGCAACTCCGTCATTCGCAGTATTCTTGGAGGTGTGATGCCCATTGCAGGCACCTACATGTACGCCACTCTGGGCCCTAATTGGTCCGGTACTCTCTTGGGCCTACTTGAGGTTGTTATCGTGCCCATTCCATTTGTGTTCTACAAGTACGGTCACAAGATCCGCATGAAGAGCAACTTGATTATTCGCATGCAGGAGGACAAGAAGAAGTTGGAGGGAAAACGGAGCCGCAGACGGCCGCAACCTATTCCTGAGGTGAAAGAGAAGGAAGAAGTCTAGGTCTTTTGATTGTTGCACGATACCCTTTGTATTTGCATCCGAGGTGTTTTTGAGCCCATGCCAGCATTTTCAAAAGTAGCATAATTAATTCAAAAAGTTTTCATTCGAATCTGGGTATCAATCATCTTTTATGGCAAACTTGGCCGGTGGACTCGAAGCTCAACATCCTCCGCATTGCGAAGAATTCGCTCATACTCGCCCAGCGCAATTGCCCCCGCTGAGAAAACCATCACGGCCTCGACATATACGGGGCGTGATGGCACTTTGCGGGGCACGCAGACATCTTCCTGACTCGACGTAAACGAGGCTGGCGGTGTAGATTCCTCTCTGATATAGCCCAGGATGTTCAACCAGGTGCCCACCCGCAAGTCTTCAGCTGTTATACTCTCCAACACATTATTGATATCTACCGGAACCGTGTTGGACTCTTTTCGGCGCGGATAGTTGTGCTCTAGTATCAGGTGGCCATTTTGAACGTCGTAACGCGTCACGCTTGCGAAGGGTTAGTCGCCGGGCAGTACACTAAAGGTATAGTGACGCACCAGCCGAGAAATCGGACCTTGGAATCCGCCGGCAGGGATGGTAGATTAGACAGAAAGGCACGCGAGGACGGGCGCGGCCCGTTCATGGGTGTGTTTTGTCGTGTGGATCATGTTTTGGGACTGCGGCGAGAGTAGTGAGGTGAGGCCACCGCTCACGTGACCCGGCTGACCAAACGATGGAGCTCCGGCGTGCAGCAACAGCTCCCTTGGCCTTCTTCACCCATCCTCCGAACAATCCCTCTCCACCCTCATTTTGTCACACACCATCCCTCCCTTCATCCGCCATCATGTCGACTCTTGAAGATCTCGACGACTTGGAGCGCGAGCAGAGAGACAAGAAGCAAGACCAGGGCGATGGAGACGGCAAGAAGCCAGACGGTGACGACAGCGATGCCGAGATGAAAGATGCCGAGAAGAAAGAAGACGAAGAGGAACTTTTAGATGACGAGATTCTACACTCGAGCACTGCAGACATCGTCAAACGTCGGCGGATGCTTGAGAACGAGATGCGCATTATGAAGAGCGAGTTCCAGCGGTTGACACACGAGCAGAGTACAATGCGGGAGAAGGTCAAGGATAATCAAGAGAAGATCGAAAACAACAGGTGTGTTTAGCACACGCTACTGAATAAGCCATCACCGCTAACACTGCTGTGTCTAGACAACTACCATACCTCGTTGGAAACGTCGTGGAGTTATTGGATCTGGACGTGGAGGCCGAAGCCGCAGAGGAAGGCGCCAACATCGACCTCGATGCCACCCGGGTGGGCAAATCCGCCGTCATCAAAACATCCACCCGTCAAACCATCTTCCTCCCGCTCATTGGCCTGGTCGACCACGAAAAGCTCAAGCCCAGTGACCTCATCGGTGTCAACAAGGACTCATATCTCATCCTCGACACACTACCCGCCGAATATGACAACCGTGTGAAGGCTATGGAGGTCGACGAGAAGCCGACGGAGAAATACACGGACATTGGTGGTCTGGATAAGCAGATCGAGGAGATCGTTGAGGCCATCGTATGGCCCATGAAAGAGGCGGAGCGTTTCACGAAGATTGGCATCAAGGCACCGAAAGGTATGGCCTCCCTCCTCCATCTCGTGTTATCGGCTGCTAATTAGATTTAGGTGCTCTCATGTACGGCCCTCCTGGAACCGGTAAGACTCTGCTGGCACGAGCGTGCGCCGCCGAGACCAACGCAACCTTCCTCAAACTGGCCGGCCCACAACTGGTGCAGATGTTCATCGGTGATGGCGCCAAGCTAGTTCGCGACTGCTTCGCCCTTGCCAAGGAGAAGGCGCCCTCCATCATCTTCATCGACGAGCTGGACGCCGTCGGCACAAAGCGTTTCGATTCGGAGAAATCTGGTGACCGCGAAGTCCAGCGGACAATGTTGGAGCTGCTGAACCAACTCGATGGATTCGCCTCGGACGACCGCATCAAGGTCCTGGCTGCCACCAACCGGGTGGATGTTTTGGATCCTGCCCTGCTTCGGTCTGGTCGTCTGGACCGCAAGATCGAGTTCCCACTGCCGAACGAGGAAGCCCGCGCCAATATCTTGCAGATCCACTCGCGCAAGATGTCCGTCGAGGACAGTGTCAACTGGGCCGAATTGGCCCGCAGCACCGACGAATTTGGTGGTGCCCAGCTCAAGGCCGTCTGCGTGGAGGCTGGTATGATCGCCCTCCGCAAGGGCATGAGCAAGGTCGGTCACGAAAACTACGTCGACGCCATCGCCGAGGTCCAGGCCAAGAAGAAGGATGCGAACATGGGCATCTATGTTTGAGCTATGTGTTTCTGTTTGTGTATGCTACATAGTGTCCCTTCGAGTTATAGTTTCGCTCCTGCATGCACGCATCTCCCCATACAATTTGATGACGTCCGTGGTTTGCTTATGTCTGCATAGAAAAGGATTCTGCCTCGTATCTTTTTCTAGAATTCAGTATCGTACGTTTCTTGGCCTCGGGTCGGAGATATTTGTCCTCCCTCCTGCAGAATCTGGTAACAGTCCTGTCCGTGAGCGATGGGAAATATCATGCTCGTTCAGCATCAAAATATTCAGAGTCGGCTGATGAGTCTTGTCAGAGCTGGGAGGTAGATCCAAATCTTCAATAGGGTACTTGATCGGTGGTGATGATGGAAGTCTTGATGATCACTGACGGCGGTACAGGGATCTTGCTTCCTTTTCGTGCTGACGGGTCGGAAAGGAGGAAAGATGGGTTCCCGTTCAGAGACCGCCGATACTCTTGATACTGGGTGCCATCTGGCAGCTCCAATTCCTAATCAGGGTTATTGGGACCGTTGTAATCACCCTTATCTCCATTGCTGCTCCACCTACTGCTGCAGGCTTTCGATTGTAGGAGGAGCGGACGCAGGCAAGGGTGTGGGCGCACGCGAGGGAGCAGGAGTCCCCTGTAGATATTCGACTGTATCAAATGTCAGCAAGACATTCCAGAATACACTTGCATCTCTACATAGGGTACCGCTACAAATGCGCGCACCAGGGAGCTCGAGAAGTGGCTCGGGAAATGGTACCAGGAACACCACCTTTCTTGGGACTCGGGCTGTAACGAGCAATGTGGCCAGGCTGCTTTACAGCAGACCTCCGTCTATATAATAATCTGCACAATCCATCGCAAGACATGTCAACTTGATACTTACAGTTCCGCGACCGTGGCCACCTCCACGACCTCCAGTTCATGGACATGCAGATCTCCGTCCAGCTGAGCAGAAGCTCCCAGAGAGTGATCGAGTTCTCCACCATGGCCGGGCCGTTCAAGTCCGAGAGAGAGATCTTCTCACCAGTAATAGCAACCATTTTGAAAATTATGGGAAAACGTGAATGATGATGGTGGGTAGAAAGGTAGTGTGTAAGTGGGTACGTGAGAACACCTCATTTTTCTGAATGTGGAACGAGGTCCACTGGATATTCCCCTACCTTAGTCCATCGTGTGTCCTACAGAAAGGATTGATAGAAATGGTAGATAGGAAGAGTTGAGATAGGAAACAGTTAATAGAAGTTTAGTAGAAAGCCTAGGCCAAGAGCTAGTAGATGTTGGTCGTGGAATTGATGGAGGAGTTGACCGTAGAATTAGTCGTGGAATCGATGGTGGGACGGACACTGTAGATATCATACAAATTGAGCAGCTCAACAATTGTGAAGTTCTAGCCTTTTAGTCTCATGGAATTTCGCAAATACAATATGTATATAAAATGGGTTAGGGTGAATGCGGAGTATCTATGAAAGGAAGGACAGGCAAGAAGCAGCTCAGCGAGTATAACAGTATAACACGCAAGCGACAGCATGTTTATCATAACTGCATGGATATTTTTCATACTCTGAAGATTCGCTACCATGATCTAAGAAAACTGGAGAAAAGTCCGAGCGTTCGTGTCGTTGAGATTTCGAACGGACCCCTGTCACACTATGGGAATTCTATCTATGGGTGGTTTTGAATGTGTTTTGGGCATTTTCTGCGCCAGGTAGCAGTGGAATTAATTAATGAATGTATTCAAACCAAAAAAAAATAGCTTTTACATGCGAATAAGGACAAAAAAATGCTCAATGCTCTGGGACAGGTTCGAACTGCCGACCTTCGGATGTCAATTCTGTTGCCAGATTCGTCATATGCTATGATATGAGACCGACGTCATGACCAACTAGACCACCAAAGCATTCTCTGGCGGGTTTCGGGGTAGTTTGATTCATTAGGGGGTGAAAATTTGAGTCGGGAGGGGTTCCGGAAGATATCCGAAGGAGGCCGGTCACGTGAGTAACTGGAACTTTGCATACTCCCTACGCCTTGACGGAATAAGGAATTTCAATATATACATGTTGTATTATGCAGTCCTACTACCTATTGCCATGGAACGGGAAAAACCACCGGATTCAAGTGCATCTGGTGGCTACCAACAATGAGACCAAAAATACATCCCGAGATGGACAAGGCGAGACGCTGCATGGATATACGCTTAGGCATGCTTTGGGTGAACAAAAATCTAAACTCAACAGTTCTAAAATGTCCAATAACAAGTATGAGGCATTAATATTCTAGGTTATTTTTAATCAATCGCCCTTTCAAGATCATACTATGTGAAACGTAGGCAGCCAGCGCTTAACACCATTATTCGCACTCCGCCCACCCTAGTACCCCACCGCAACAGAGTCAACAAAAGGCCGTACGAATGCAAACCAGACAGCAGCTACGTCTCCGACATCCCTACAGGCTGGGAGACAGATAGTACAGCTATGTGTGCGGTTACTTGGCCTTCTGAAACGCCTTTCACAGAGATATCCGAATGCTGTACCGGGCCGGTCCAAGTATCCAATGCATGCTTCCATTACTGCCAAACCGACTTGCCGAGTCACGCATTTTTAAAATGTGCGCATGAACATATGAATGTTAGGTCCATCGGTATCAGTTGCAATTTGGCTGCATCACCAAACCATGGACACACGAACTTAGGACCTGATAATGATAAGACTGCGGGTCTACTGTCATCGATGAAAGGATACAGTGGATACCTTATTGCCGCTACATTTGGTATGCTTATAGCTTATGTTGCTGCCCAGTTCATATCTACGTCTGCGGGGGTGAGGAAGAGGATCTGGGGTTGCTTGGGCATGTTCTAGGGCGTTTTAGTACTGATTACTTTAGCCGGACGGGTGTGGATGTATGAGAGAGGGGAAGAAATGTCGTGAGAGCAATCGGAGCCAAGAATTTGTACTGGTTCTAAATAGAAAAGATCATTTTCAACGAGAATTTTGAGGTTAAAAACGGAAGAAAAAAGAGGAGAAAGAGGAGAAAAGGACCAGACATTTGTTCGTCAAACGGAGTAAACAAGAATCACGTCCCACCAGTTCAGTCTGACCTAACAATCAACTCTCGTCTTCTAGAGCAACCTAAGCGGCTGCCCACCTGAACAACGATGCACATATAGGAAGATGATCAAGGCTGTCAAGCCCCTATAGTGTACTAGATAAACTCTCGAAAACATGTCATTATATATGTAACTTTACCCTCCTCAGTTGCTATGAGCTTCTAAGTCACAAAATACTGCACTGCAAGATAGCGATCTTCAAAATCTCCGGATATCTTCTGAGACGCACCCTTGTGCAGGGATAAAGGATTCTTCGGTTTCATCTTCGAAGTACATCATTCCAAGCCTTGAAAGTATAGCCTACATAACCTGACTGATTCCAAAAAGAGTATGAGGACATGTTGTTGACTTGTTGCTTACATCCGAGATGTGCGGGGCTAACAAAGCTGATAGCGATTAAATGAACTTGGCCAGCTTGTCTCGGCGAGCGCGCAACATTTCTTCGAGAAAGGCGACCGCAATCTCAAGACGTCTTTTTTCCATCGACGTCGGCAACGTTGGTTTCGGTACTTTGGCCAGCTTTCGAGGGACTTGCTGTTTTGGAGGTATCCCAGTCAATCAAGCCCAAAACTGATGCGACCCGTACGAAAGTTACCGCAAGCGTTGCAAGGGTTATGGTGAGAATCACGAGAGTCATGAGGACCTGGAGGGGGAGCGGGAGCACATCGGTCATGAAGACCGTCGCTGTGCACCAGCTTTCGCTAAAAAATCGAGGAATGGAAATCATTCTCGTATTGTCAAGAGAGGTTTAAATTTTCAATATGGGAGATGGAAAGGTGTCTTCTCTTACTGCGACATGTGGAAATGTCATGCCCTCTCGTTTTGTATGCGCTGTTTACATGGGATCGGGAAATCGGGAAATGGGGCCATACTTGCACAGCCCACGTCTACTTGCACAGCCCGAGGTTTATAGTATGTGCGAGTAACCCGTCAATATGGGGTTATTGAGCGATGATCGGTTGCCTTCAGCAGAATATTTAGACAAGATTGAAGTTCGGGTTTCATTTCAAAGTCTCTAGATACAGGAACGAAAAACCCCCTCACTGGGAGTTCTCCGGGGCCGCCTTGGCGGCACCCTCGCCGGTCGTCATGTCGGCGTCCACATCCTGCGGCGACTGCAGCTGCAGTCTCAGCAGCAGCAGCCGCAGGGCAAGCAGGCGCTCGATCTGTCGGTTGAGATAATTTTCCATATTGCAGGGGGCTGTACCAGAAGTTAGCAAGACGCGCAAGAGTAAACACTTGCATCTCTACATACCGTGCCTCTGGAGACGATCATCGCGCCATTGCTGGCACCAGAGCCGCCGTTCTTCTTCGCCACCTCGCCTTGCAGTTACGGGCGAGGTGGCCGGGCTGCTTGCATTTATAGCACACTTTGCTCTATCATAAGTCAGCACAATCCATCGCAAGATATGGCATTGATACTTACGATACCGCCACCAAGGCCACCGAATCCATCGAAGCCTCCACCGTCTCCGCGTTTATCCACAATTCTGCGTCCCCTGCAACTCGCAATCCGCTCAACCGTCGCCAGTTCAAAATATTAACAATCTTGATTGTATCTTTTCCTCCAAAGGGAAGGGAAGCATGTTCATATCATCGCGCAACAGGGGCTCAGCCTGCTTCTCTCGCTCGGTCTGCTTCTGTCGCTCAACCAGCCTCTTCGAGTCGTTCTCAAGCTTGCTTAGCGAGCATCTCGTGCGAATTCCGGTGGTGGGATTGCTCTATTAAAAGCTTCACCCGTATGAAACCACTCGTTTGAACCGCCGCCACCGCCGGTGCCGATCACGGCTGCACACATCTAAGACAAGGCACTAGTATCGTAGATATGAGGTCGAATGAGATGCTTACTGTTTGACAGGGAGAGAGAAAAGAGGGAGAGAGGCAGGGAGAGAGGGAGGGGGGGAGGGAGGAAGGAAGGAAAGGAAGGAAGGCAGAAGAGAGAGAGAAAGCGCACTGGACCACTTGTGTTTATACTGCCTGGAGGGCCTTCAATCACCGCCAGAGCTGTCATTCACTCCATGTAGATCAGCCCTCTGATTGGTCGCCCTACGCGTACCTATCACGTGATGCACTCTCGCTGTTTAGATACCTGATCGGTTCTAGATAGCTTCTTCTTTCTCTCTCAGAAAATTTATCACTTCCATTTCTTCCTCCCCAGATCGCCAGTAGGCATCTGTGAAGAGCTTATGAGCCCAGATCTCGGTTGTCTCACGGTCGTCTACAGGCCCCAGTTTTCTCCGATCCTCAGCCTCGCTGGTCCCGACTTTCTTGAAGTTTTGAAGATTTTCGAAGGCAAGAGAGATGTTTTCTCTACAGTGTCCATCCCACCATCTATTCCACGACTGATTTTACGGTCAACTTCACGGCCAATTTCACGACCAACATCAACTATTCCACTAGGTCTTCCACTAGGTCTTCCACTAGGTCTTCCACTAGGTCTTCCACTAGGTCTTCCACCAGCTCTTTCCACCAGCTCTTTCCACCAGCTCTTTCCACCAGCTCTTTCCACCAGCTCTTTCCACCAGCTCTTTCCACCAGCTCTTTCCACCAGCTCTTTCCACCAGCTCTTTCCACCAGCTCTTTCCACCAACTCCATCCATCAACAAACCCTCTTCATCAACAAACCCTCTCCATCACCAACCCTCTCCATCAACAACCAACTCCATCCACCAACCCTCTTCATCAACAACCAACTCCATCCACCAACCCTCTCCATCAACAACCAACTCCATCCACCAACTCCATCCACCAACTCCATCCACCAACTCCATCCACCAACTCCATCCACCAAGCTTCTCAACTTCGTCTCTCTAGCTTCCCGCTCCGTCGACCTCTCAATGACGAGCCGTATCCAAACAGGGTAAACATGGTGGAACACACGATGCACCAAGGCAAGAGGCGCATACAGCGAGCACCCTTCCACATAGAGAAAAATAAGATTATTCAACTATCTCGGTCCCTCCTCACTTCGGCCCCGCGGTGCTGCTCAGATACCCAACTTGCGTCCGAGAACATTGAATTGCGTTCGCAAGATGCCGCCAAAAGCGCGATCTGGAGGTGGAGATGGGTGGTCCGGGGGTGGGAAGAGACCGCGGCTGACGAGCTCTGGGCCCAAAGAAAGAGCTCTGGTAATGGAAATCTGCAGAAATCGAGCAAGGGCGAATAGAAGATCACTAGTTTCTTCTCTCGTGCTGGTTATGACCTCAAAAAGCCGGCCGACGAAAGTGTCGACTCCCCGCCGGCACCGACCCACGATTCCCTGCGTCCTGAGCCACAAGAATTCTGCTGGCCATCATCGCGCCAGGAGAACCCGTTCACTCTAGGAGTGGGTGTCTCGTCTGAGGCTCGTGCTCGTGCTCAAGGCGAGGGAGCGGTGATCGATGAGGAGGCTCTCGCTGCATCCAAAGTACTTGATGCAGCCACGAATACCAAGGAGGATGGGGCCCTGTATGAGGACATTGACAATAGAGATCAGGGTGATGCCATTGGTCCCAACAACCCTGAAGAGGAATTGGACCTGCCAGAGGACGAGTACGACGCTGAGCAGGATCCGGATGCCGACGACTGTGATGAGATTGAAGTCGCCGGTGATGATCTGCCTGAGTCTTTCTCCATTGCTGGAGGTATGCGTGTCGTTGTCGATCCCTATAGGGGTGACAAGTTCAAGAAGGCCTTGAGTTCTGTTGTCGAGGCCTTGCAGGACAAGATCACGAACTTATCTTCCACTTGTGAGGACGTTCTGGGGCATTTTGCGTCGCACTTCGCGGGGTAAACTCCTCGAGAGGCTGCTGCCCGCTATTCGCGAAGATGTCCGGGACATCTTTGAGAAAGAGAGTGATCTTTTGCGGACCTACTCGCCCTTGGCGATGTGTATCCCAGTGACAAGCGTATGGGAGTCTACTGTAACTTTGTTACAGGCAATTTCGCGGACCAAGACTTCGGATTGATGCTTATACTGGGTATAGCAAATGTGTTGGCAAACGATGCCACGTGGACCACAAACAGTGCATCCGGAGGAAGACGGGCAAAAAGAACCTGCACTATCGACGGGCAGGCTCAGATGGTGCAGAAAGCCACTTCAAGCTGCTCGCTGCGTTTCCCCAGGGCGAAGATACTGCCCTTGCCCAGCTTTTGGAGGGTCTGTTCATGATCCTCCTTGAGACCTGGTAGTGGCACGGACAGGTGCATCTCTTTTGCCCGAAGGCGACTTTTGACCTTGTCGAGGGTATCCGGCCTGACTGGCTTGTCTCGTCGGGATGGCGGCGACTGAATATGGTTTGGTCCCTGAGACAGGGCGTGAATGGTAGCGTGCTCGATGAACCGTCGAAGTGCTGCAACTGCTCTCGGACGGTAGAGCGACGTAAGGTGGTGGGTAGCCACCGTAGGGCTGGTACCATGGGTCGACGTGGTGAGGCCTTGCTTGTTCGCTACACTTATGACCCGAGCGACACTTTCGGAGGTTTCATCCGCCAGAACTGCTGCAGATGTCGTTACGATACCAAGCATCTACCCGATGCAAAGCACATTCACTTCTACCAGGAAAGGGCCAAGATGGCCGCTGACAAACTGGATGGCGTCAAAACGACGTGCGCGCATTGCTGGAAGGTCCAGAATCCCAATGCATCAGACTTTGTGAATGTCCATGGACTCGACAAGTGGCTGTGCGTGGCATGCAGCCAGAGCTGGTATATCAAACGCGAGGAACGAGACCTTGGGCCCAAAATACGCCAAGAGCAGCGTGATGCAGCCCGCGAAACCGAGGCTCGATGTGGGAATGGCGATTGCCCACTGACAGAGGAATTGAACAGCAAGAAGCATGGGCGGCCTCTGAACTGGATGGAAGGCGTGGGTTTCCGCTGCCAAACTGCAGCGTCTATCGATGGAAACACGATAACGAAGACCACCCGAACCCAAAGAGCGTGATCTCCTCGGAGGAGCTCGAACGCCTTCGACAGCTGCCTCCCCGTATCTGCTGTAATTGCAGTGCTCAGGAGGGTGAACTTGGTGTCAGCAAAACCTGGCACAAAGAGAATGGCATGGATGTTTGCCGTTCCTGTTGGCGATACACTCGGGATCACGACGGCGAAGCTCGGGACCCACACGCCCAACGCTTTTCAGAGGGCCAAGGCGCGAGTGGACAAGGACCGCGAAGACGAGGTTGTTGTCCTCTGCGACATTTGCAAGACTGAAGAAGGTGGACAGGCCAAGAAGTTCACTGTGCACAAGGAACTGTGCGTGCCTCTCTGCCGGAAGTGTGCTGGTCAGGAGATAGCGAAGGCCAAGAAAGCCCAGAATGTTGCAAACGCCGACGGAGACTCGACTTGATTGGCGAGAAGATGTCGAGTCTGGTGTGGAGGTTGGCAAGCTTCGACAACCACGATGAGTGCAATCTCAAAGATACCCAGGGCGAATATGGGTGCACTTGGTTTATTTATTACTTACTTATATTTTCTTTTTCCAGTGGTTTATGCCCTGCCGTGATGTGCGGTGGGCCCCGAGCAAGACTTGCACCTTTTCGTGGTGCTCGGGATAAGTAACCTATATGGTGAAACCAAGCAAGTCAAAAATATTGATACCTGTATTAAGATTGGGGGAGTTTCGAATCGAATTAAGAAGTTCAATTCTCTTTAGAATATCTCGTTCCGAAAACGTAGTTCATCTATCCTTATACTAAGGGAAATGATAAGAAAACGGTTCTCGAGAGCGCCCAAATTCGGCGGCCTGCATGAGTAGGGCAGGTCAAAAAAGGATGTGATTGCAGCATACCCGGAAGTCAACGTTATAGAAAATAAATAGACTTTCGTTATTGTAGGGGTTTACAGGAGGATGGTATACTTAGGAAAAGTCGAATATATTGTCTAGGTCGTGTCAAAAATTCGTTTACAAGCACCGGTCGAGACCAAAGACAAGAAAGATGGTAGCTAAATAGAGGCAAGAAGTAGACAGCGAAGAAGAAGTGTACGTGCGGTTCGCGTAGCAAGGAAATTGATTGTACGAAAACGAAAACGAAAGGGAATCCAGACAGAGGTGGGAAACGGGATACCTTTATTAAACAGTCATCATTCCAACAACATAATAAAACGAAGCACATCACCTAACCACCTACTTTTAGTTAAGAATATACCGTTCTTCTATCTTATATCCTATCAGTTCAGCAGAGGGATTAACTTCATCAATAATGCCATGGATTTTACTCCTTGACATCTGTATATATTACGTAGGAGGACCATGGGGAACTGTGATCAACACTGATATCTCCATCGCATCAACCTCCACCTACCACTGCGAAAACCAGACCTCGGCGGTTAGGATCCAGGCAGCGATAAGACCTATATTATCATAGGTTACACAGTACAAGATATTTCAATCTTCTATGGGCAACTTTGTCTCATCCCACTTCATTTTATCCTTTCATATGTGATATATAGATCAGCATCAGCAAGGATCCTCAATCAACGACGAACCGAGATAAACCTCACCCAAGCCCACGCATACTCAACCATAGAGACATGGTCAACAAAATGTATATATTGAAATTCCTTATTCCGTCAAGGCGTAGGGAGTATGCAAAGTTCCAGTTACTCACGTGACCGGCCTCCTTCGGATATCTTCCGGAACCCCTCCCGACTCAAATTTTCACCCCCTAATAATCAAACTACCCCGAAACCCGCCAGAGAATGCTTTGGTGGTCTAGTTGGTCATGACGTCGGTCTCATATCATAGCATATGACGAATCTGGCAACAGAATTGACATCCGAAGGTCGGCAGTTCGAACCTGTCCCAGAGCATTTTTTGCACCACAATGGGTGCCTCAACACTTTTTGTGACCTTTGAATAACTCCGTTAGTCAACTTTTGTGTCCTCCGAACATGAGGAGGCCGAAAATATACTCAAAAAGTGACCCAAGCGTGAGTCGGGAAAGTCGGACATCTCGGTGTACTCAAGTTGACTCATGGGGCTTGTGTTGAAGTATATATTAACCACAAAGGAACATAATGGGCATAAATTGGAACAATGGCAATTTTGTGAAGGTCATACATGCATGCATACAGGCTTTGTAATTACTCTGTTAAATCCCCCTGGTTGAGAAACCAAGCAAGCATGGTCCTGTCTGTATAGTATCTGTATAGTTACTCGCATGTGTACACGCGGTCGAATTAACCCTGATGAAATACCAGGTTCGCAGAAAATGAGCTGCAACAACTACACTAACCATCCAGATCACGTTAAGGTACTAATCCGCAACCCAGATGGCTAAGGACAACCAGTACTATCAAAGTCCCCTTCAGGGCTACTCGAAGCAGACGACAGCCTCATAAGTAGGCAACGGGCACAGCTGACAAGGCAGCAGTGGAACATCCTGGCCAGAGAGCTTGACGATAACTAGCTCAGTAAATCCTCAGCTGATACCCCTTTCTGCCTGCTCACCAATGGCCACCTGGTGTGGCGGTACGACAATGGGGGCAAAAAAAAGGGCGCTCGCCGCCTTTGTATTTTCTGCCTGCTGGACGGACTCGATGACCTCCATGGCCACCTTTCGCAGCCCCTTCGAATCAGATCCATGACTCTACTGCCATCGCCCCTCGCTCAGTCCAGCCTGGGTGAGAAGTGTGCAGTTTACTTGGACCACGTCACCAACCATCTCTCCACCCTCCACCCTCGACTCGAGCTTTTCCGCAACTGGTCTGCTCGTGTCCTGCCGTTCCCCGTCGACGACCAGGCCGCCACTCTTTGTACAGTTGTCCTTGGCTGTGTGCTCGTTGCCGTTGCGATGAGTTGGCGCAACCCCATTTCGTGGCGCGGCTCGTCAAATACGTCCGCTCCCCGCGTGAGCGACCACGACTTCAGTTACATTACACCAGACGATATTGTCGACCCACCAACCAGATACGATGCCCAGGATGACAATGAACCGGATGTCATCCGCCTCAAACACCGCGGCACTATTTACCCGTTACGTTTCCGTGCATATGCGATCGACGATGGAGCCCTGACGGTGGGCATGCTGCGAGAGGAGGCCGCAGTCAAAACCGGCACAAACGACCCGGATCGGATCCGATTACTGTACAAGGGGAAGTTGCTGAAGGATGATAAACACACATGCAAGGCGGAGGGACTAAAACAACACTCCTTGGTGCTGTGTGTGGTTTCCGAGGTGGGCGCAAAGACGCCGAGTGATCTCTCCGATTTCGATACTAGCGACTCGCTCCATGTGGACGGCCGCCCTGGATCGTCATCATCACGCACTGAAGAACCCAGGGAGACAAGGAGAAACAGACCGGTGGGGCCGCCTTCTCTCGCCCCGCCACGGCCGTCGCCCGGTCCCTCCGGCACGCCATCGCCGGCTCCCAGCCTGAAGGGATTCCGGACTGCGCTGGAGCAGGTTAACGCGTTGTCCACGTACTTCCAGCAGGTGTTGGTACCTCTCTGTAACGAATACATGGCGGACCCGCCCAGCGATCAGAAGAAGCGAGACTTTGAATACAAGAAACTAAGCGAGACCATCATGGCGCAGGTCCTGCTCAAGGCGGATGAAATTGAGTTGGATGGTGATGCGGCTCGCAATGCGCGGCGGGCGCTGATCAAGGAGACACAGGCGATGTTGAACCGCTTGGACCAGGGCGCAAAGCATTAGGGTTTGCGATGCATTTGCCGGCCTTGACGTGTGTAGATTTGATTAAATACGAGAAGATAGACCATGGATTGTTATTCAACCTGTCACTCGGGACACTATTTTAATATGCATTTGGATCGGCGATTTTTTCTTTGTTTGTGAGCAGTCTCATAGTTTTAGGCGTTGCTAGTGACAAAAAGTGTCATCCCGTCCCTCCTATTAGTGAGATTGAGTGATCGTCGGCGTTCAGGGGCGACGCACGGTCCAGGTGAGGCGCGAGACTTGGGAAGGACAGTCGCAGGTAGATGGGAGAAAAGGATGGAAAGTATGATATTGAGTATTGCTTTCTTCCATGAGACCATTTCCGGTCAGTTAATTGACTGGATTCTAGGTTTACCGGCACTTGGTCTAGGTTCACCCGTTGTGCTGCTATTCCCGGTTTAGATAGTTCGAACGGTATTATTCCTGCTCCTCTTTCTCTTTTCTCCCTCTTTTCTCTTCCTCCTCCCAACTAACCGTCTGCTTTCCCTGCGCTCCCTTTTCCGTTTTCTTTTTGTCTCTCATTACTCTCATCTCACTACCTCACTTCGTGCTCATTTCCGCCTCCACGGAACCGAGTCCCGCCGTTGCAGTGCTCACCTGTGGAACCCGAACGGGGACCAGAATCAATCAGGGCACGAACCGCGCTTCTGGGTATTTACAATTTACTCTTTCGGTCCACTCCACCGCCCCTGATCCCGAGGGCAGTTCGTTCGCGACGGGTTTTCGGCTGGGCTCTGGGATGGCCTGATCGATTAACTGCATCCCACACACACCCACCCACTCAGTCACACCTCGTGGGTTCCCCAGCTGGTCTGGCCCTAGTTCCCTTCACCTTTTGCCAAGATGGCAGGCGTGGCGACTGCGGCGTACTCCACGGATCTCTCGTCCGGCGGCGTAGACGGCTCTCAGTGGGATTATGCGGTACCACTCGGCAGTGAGGTGGGTTAGAATTCCATGCACAACCAGGCACAAAATCTCACATTCCTCAGGAACTTTCCTATGCCTCCAAGTCTCGGACCTCCCACGACTCGACCAATGTCCGCGCGAGATCCTCGAAAAAACGCAACTCCAATAACTCGCGAAGTTCGTCCGTCTCCCGAAGCGCCGGTCGGGGTCGTCGCGACCCCAGCCTTAACCGGTATGGAAGCGAAATGCTTAGTATGCAGGACACCTTCGGCCACGATGGCACCAGAGATTTCGTCGTGAGCAAGGACGGCACCCGAATTTACCAAGAGGATATCGACCAGGAGAATTGGATCCACCGCGACAAGCTTGCCAAGATTGAAAGCGAAGAGCTGCAACAAGCCGCTTTTCTCTTCCAACGCCGCACCCGTGCAGACACCAGGTCGAGCGCGGGGCGAGGGCGGGCCCATGACTCCCACCAAGAGCAGTCGTCTGAGCCGTGGCCCGAGTTGCGGGAGGAAAATGATAGAGGTGACGGTGCGGACATCGATGATGAGCGGAAGCACTGGGATCTCCGTCGGCCCGAAGAGATTGCCGCTGAAGAAGCGGCCTCGAGCATCTACGGCAACCCGACCTTGCGCAAGAGCTCTTCCCGAATACCGATATCTACAGCAAGTCCAGCTCCCCTTGTGCCGTCACGCAGTCGTGCGGCGACGGATGAAAATGACGAAGAGGCCTCTCGTGGTCGTCGAGCCAGCGGACCCATGACCATTGAGACCGAGAATTCTACTCCTTCTCCTGTCAGCCGGCCAGGAAGTCGCGCTGCTACTGCAACCCCGACCACGCCAGCGAAGAAGACTCCAGGAAAAGTCACCACAGGATCTGCCAATCGCAAAACATCCGCTCCGCCTACGAACCGCAAGAACACCAACTCCAACAACACAAGGTCGCGTGCGACATCAAGCAACAACACCACGCAACGTCCTACCACTCGTTCTGGCGAGAGCCGCCCCACGACTGGAGTCAACCGGCCCGAGGGAGACCCGCCGTGGCTGGCAACGATGTACAAGCCAGACCCTCGTCTGCCTCCGGATCAGCAGATGCTCCCCACGCTTGCCAGAAAGATGCAGCAGGAGCAATGGGAGAAGGAAGGCCGAACTCCCACCACATACGATCGCGACTTTGCGCCTCTTGCCGTCCACCCGAACGACGAGCCTCCCGTGGTACCAGCCAAGGAGGAAAAGCCAGCCGCCGACCCCGAACCTCCGCGCAAAGACGAAGCGCTCAAACCGCCCACGAGCCCCGAGCCAGCGCGGCCCAATACCAGCACCGGCTACAGCACCATGCCAAAGGTCGCGAGCACGCCCCCGTTGGGATTTGCTCACAATCCCAACTGGAACCCACCGGTAGTGACCGCGGAAGAATCCAAAAAGAAGGAAAAGGGCTGCGGATGCTGCATTGTGATGTGATTTTTGTCCTTCTTGTGTCATGTTTTCTACCTGTTCATTTTCGAGGATACCTCTGATCATCTTTGCCCCTCCTTTTCTTCCCTTGTTTCAGCGTTGGAATGGTGTTCTGTCGATTTTTCTTGTGACCGAAAGATCTTTTTCTCTCTCTTCGGTCCGCATTCATACTTCTTCAATTCGGTGTCATCTATTTCCCACACTCCCCGCAGCATGATTCTTCTTCTATCAGCCATTCCTTGATATTCCCTTCATGTTAATCATTGTCCGTGTGACCTGTTCTTATTCTGGATTGCATGGGAAGATGAGCATCGTCGCTATCGACTTTCCCCTCGTCTCTGTACCTCTGTCCGAGTTCCTTGTTTCCTTTTTCTTCTCTTTTATGGGCAGTTCTCCCTTTGGACCATATTCCCCCGTCTTCTTGCAAGCGTTTCCCCATTTCATTCGGTCTGTGTGAATCAGTGTGATATAGTACACACAGACCAGTACCAATCGAACGAATACTTGAATTTTCCCTCGTACACAACCTAGAAGTACCCCCAACGTGCCCACCACTTGAATAATCCACGGACCAGAATAATCGTGCCATCAACGATGATTTATAGTCCGGCTGACAAATTCCCCATCACCTGACCTGTCTCCATCGTTCAGGTATGACGAAGTTTCCCGCTCAAGTCCCAACCCAACACCATCAACACACCTTTCCTTCTTTCTGCCAACTACCCGACGCAGCGCCGACAAAAGAAACTCTCACCCAGTTTCTTTTCCCGCCCGTCGATACCATCCTTATCGCCCACCATTTCGTCCTTCTTCACCCGCCTCTTCGGCTCCTTCGCCGCTCCCTCTCCCGCCGCCATGGCCGCCGCCAAGACTAAAGCTGAGACTGCCATCCGTGAGAATGCTGTTATGGTTTTCTCCAAGTCCTACTGTCCCTACTGCACTGCGAGCAAGAAGCTTTTGACTGAGTTGGGCGCCAAGTATGAGACTATGGAGTTGGATCTTGTTGGTGAGTTCATTCTCCGGTTCCCCATGCTCCATTTCCCGTTCCTGGGGAAGTAAGATGGACGGATATCCTTCTTTTTTACATCAGTGAGAATAAAGATAAAGGCTGACGACGCGAAAATAGACGACGGCTCCGCTATCCAGAATGCGCTCCAGGAAATCTCCAACCAGCGTACCGTGCCTAACATCTTCATCGCCCAGAAGCATATTGGCGGGAACTCGGAACTGCAGGCGAAGAAGGCTGAGCTGCCTGCTCTTTTGAAGGCAGCTGGTGCGTTGTAAGAGGTTGGAGAAAGAGATATGTTTGCTGGGATGACTCTATGTTACTTGCATATGTAGTTACATATGCATCTATCGTCAATGCATCCAGCATTCCATCAGATCCTGGTCTTATGAATATGCGGATATGGTTTCCGCTATAGGAGTAGGAAGTGTTGTAGACGTTTCACTCCCAAATTCTTTGCATTGAGTGGCGAGTATATAACTTATAGCCAAGCTGCGGTATCTCATAGCGTACAGTAATTAAGACAGTAGATATGACAGGTTATACCACGCGCTGCACGACCGTTCCAACGGGTCGCTCAACAACCGTCATCAGGCCATCGACAATGCTCTTCCGAGCGCCATCGCTGGACACCGTTTTCCCAGAAAGATAATTCAACCACACCAGCCGGCTAATCCGCTCGTCCGCCACACGACCCAACCACCGGGACGGCTGCGCAGGATCAGGCTGGAAGAGCGCATCGAGAGCGCCATTGGCACCGCGCAGCAGAACCAACGTCTGGCACTTGGGCACGTTCTTGCGCTGACTGCCGCCAAAAACAGCCTTGAAGTCGTTCATGGCCGACCCGAACTCCTCATCGCTGAACTCGGGCTTCTTCTGCGCTCGTCCCGTAATACCCCGAACCCAGCCGTCGCGCAGGTGCATGAAATCCGTGTTGCGCGTGGGCACGATGCGGAAGGCAGTGCGGATTCCGGGAACCTGTAGCAGTGCCGTCCATGCGGCGTCGCCGCGCTCCGGGTCGAGGAGTAGCTCCTTCAGCTGCTGACGCTCGGGCGGGACGAGCGAGGTCGCAGAGTCGGCGCCCACATCGGACACGGCTGAAGCGTCGTTCGAAGATGGGGGGTGCATCGCTGTCCGGACTAGTCGCTGCTGGAGCTCTGTGATGTCCGACTTGGCCACGTACAGCCCGACGACATACACCTGGATCGATAGGAACGAGACCGTGCGGATACCCAGACCCAACAGCTGGTACTCGTCTCCGCCAGCAGACGAGAGCTCATCCCCGGATTGATGCCCAGCTGACACAGCCGGCAGCCGGATCGTGCTGGGGAAGTACGGGACGGTACTATTCCCCGTCGCCACCTGCTCCAAACCATCCTTACCCTGGATCGGGATCACGGATGGTCCAGCACTCTCCGGGAATCCAGAAGGGCCGTCCATCTTCATTGCTTTGTTGTTCTTCGTAGTGACAGCTTCGCCGGGCTCGGGCTGGGTTTCGCCCTTCTTCTCGGTCTCGATGGCCTCCAGTCCGAACAGGTCCAGCTTAATGACCCCGTACATGGCCGCGGCACAAGCCACAATACCTGCAGTGGACAGAATAATGGAGCGTCGGTACTGGGACTGGTTGTCTGCCGTGCGTCGGGCCTGGGACCGGAGGGGGTTGCTGGGGCTTGCATGGTTGTTCAGGTAGGAGGACGTGGAGAGGTGTCGGGGTTTTGCGAGACGGGACGAGCGGAAATGCTGGCGGACGAGGCATTGGCAGATGCGCCAGGGGACTGGACCGCGAATAGAGGTCGCCATGTCTCTCGCCGTCACCCCTGTTGTTGATCAGGAAGGAAAGCAAACGATGTCAGCGGCGGCAGGAGTGTGGGGATACACGTGACCGCCCATCTATAGCCGGAAGCACCGTGAAGAATTAAGCAGATATTAATTAGTTAATAATTAAGAAATTATTGTCCAGTGAACGCTGTCTTCGAAACTTTGGAAGAAATTCCGCTGCTGGAAGAATTGGACATTCCCCTTCAACACTTTCAGGGAGATGCTGCAGAAGTGGCTTTTATATCGAGCCTTGGGAACGATATGCCGTCTCAAGAATTCGAAACTGAGTTTAAACGTGATAGAAAACTTTCCAACAACACAGATGGGCAAAAATGTGTGTATGTGTGTGTAAATACTATAGCGATGAACCCAGAACTCGGGAGATCTCGTTCCTCACAACCTCTTCCAAGCCCATCATGCGCGGCTCTCCAACTTTTACGTTGTCCCGCTGTGCATACAGTGTACCACCCTCCGTCCAGATGCGCCGTAGTGTCACCGCCGTTGCCGCCGGGTTGCCATCCTCCCATGTCTTCGCCTCCAGCTCTCGCAAACGGGGCAGCGGAGTGTATGAGATTGAATCCCACTTGCTGCCAGTCTGACGCTCAAACTCCGCCTGAATCTGGGCAGGGCTGGTAGTGAACGAGTTGACGCAGAGAGCGCGGTTACGGATTTCAGGGTTGGAGCTGAGAAGCGTAGCTTGAACAAGCTTACCCACACTGTTTTTCTTTTATTAGTTGCGAGCTCAAGCAGCCATTAGGTAGAAAACTCACTCTTTCATCGTCGTTAAACTGATTTTATCCTCGCCTTTCTCTCCCAGTAGCACCGCCTTCTTCGCCTTGACGTCCCAGCCACCAGCCTCTTCTAGTCCGGGCACTAGGTGCAGGTACATGTCTGCAAAAGGCCCCGTCACAACGTACGTGTACTCGAGGTCTGCTCGCGAGATTTCCTTCTCAAGCAGTGCGCGCACTTTCAGCTTCTGTTGGTGCGGCTTCTCATTTACGGAGGCTGGGCCGTACGCAATGTCGGTTCCATACTCCGACGGCAGGAACCATTTCACGCTGGAGCTAGCCGCCGCGAGTTTGATTAGCGGGATTTGCTGGGCTAGAGCGGTGCGGCCGAGTGCGGAGATGACGGTGTCAATACCTAATAGTCTTGTCAGTTTGCTTTGATCAAAATGCGCTGCGCTGCGGTACATACCCTCATACGCAGCTTTGACTGCATTCTCATCCTCGATATTGCCAACAATTACCTCGACGTTCTTCTGTGTCTTCAGGTCGTTCAAGTACGAGGCCTTGGTCTCGGCCGTGCGAGCTGAGGTCAAAATAGCAACGCGGCCGAATTGATTCCGTGTCGACAGGATGGCATCAAGGATGTACGAGCCAATTGTGCCCGTGGCACCGACAAGCAACAGATTCCGAGCTGGTGCCATGATGGATGATGGGAAGAATCACAATCACGCAAGACTACTTGTGTACCAATGTGGGGCGCGGGGTTGCTTGATTATCAATCTGGGCTGTGAATTTACCCGTCAGAAAGAAGTAAAAAAGCCAAAGATAATTATAATGGCGCCTGTGGCACACACCGCGTAGGTTTCGGGAGCTAGTTGCAGCGATTTGGTGAAGTCAAAGTGCTGGCCCTTGCTAAGGGGCGTTCTTCGGTCGTGCTCATGGTTTGATAGGCAAGCATGAAGTCTACTAATCACCCAGTGGCTATAACTAAAGGCCACCTCAAAGATGCGGCTGAATCTACGCTTTCTACAGCGTGGATCGCCTATTACCACTGCAAGAATTACCTCGGAAAAAGGCCGAGGCTCTTAGAAATGAACATGTTTAGTATTCGCACTCTGTCTTCTCGGCTTACTGCTCTTTCAACTGTCTAGCCGACCTCTCTATGTGTAATAAATGACTCCGGTAGAACTTGCTATCATCCTTAAATATGAGTATGGAACTTAGGCATTTAGTTATCTCTTTTTTGTACGTCGTTGTTCCAGCGTAAACTCCCCGGCAAGAGGGGCATACAGACATGATTGATTGGTTCGCTATCACCCCTATCTCCGCCTTTTGAGTAGCGATGTGGGGGGTATCATCGCAGGGTACTGGCGAATGCATCACTTCAGCAAGTAAGTGGTAACCAGTCCTGGAGACAACAATCAAAGCGGTCTCTCCATCATTGGCTCTTATCGTCGAGAGAGCTAACTAGGGAGCGAGGACGCCTAAATGGCAGTTGCATCGGCATTGCGTCGGCTGTCGCAGCGTCTGTTGCCATGCTGTTAATAAGGTTTACTTGACCTTAATGCTCTTTCTTTCTATTGGTGATCAATTGCCGGGACTTTGCAACACAGGTTAAAGCGCCAAGTTCCCCGCAAAGTTGATCGACTGATTAGGGACCCCACAGCCAAACAGGATTCTACCCTCCTTATAATCGCGCTTCACCCGGATACCGGCCTTCTGAAAAAACATTCTCTCCTCTGTCTGAAAATCTCATTTGACCAAATTCTACCTCGGGAAAATGGAAACATCTGAGAAGGCCGGTGAACATGAAACAATTGAAAATGTCAAATCGGAGCATCTAGAAGTTGCATTTGATCGCGCTGCAGAGAAAAGACTACTGTGGAAGCTCGATATCCATGTCGTTCCCATTTTAATGATCCTTTTCCTGATGGCTTTCCTCGATCGAATCAATATTGGCAATGCAGCAATCCAAGGGCTAGAAACCGATCTGAACATGGGTGGACACGACTTCAACATAGCATTGTTCATATTTTTCATTCCATATATTCTCTTAGAGGTTCCAAGCAACCTCATCTTGAGAAAAGTACCACCCTCGTGGTGGATCAGTGGGATTATGTTTGCATGGGGTATGGTTGACTTCGACCCGTCTTTTAATGAAGTGCTAATAGAAATGTCTTTTTGTCAACCAGGTATTATTACAATTTGTCAAGGAGTGACTGAGAGCTTTGGGGGCTTGGTTGCTTGTCGATTCCTATTGGGGATTTTCGAGGCCGGTTTTATGCCAGGTCAGTATTTCTCTGGTTGGGCGCAATGAATTCACGTTGATACTGATGTTAACAGGTTGCATCTACCTCATTTCGATGTACTATAAACGTCACGAACTACAATGGCGTCTGAACGTATTCTTTAGCGCTAGCATTCTTGCTGGCGCTGTCAGTGGAGTATGTCCAGTAAATTTCGGTAGGGAAGATATTGCTAAATGAATGATAGTTGCTTGCTTATGCCATCGCCAACATGGATGGAATCGCGGGGTATAGCGCCTGGCGGTGGATCTTCATCATTGAAGGTCTAGCGACTGTCGTGATTGCAGCGGCTTCTAAGTTCTTAATTGTCGATTGGCCAGAGACTTCTAGCTTTTTAAATGACGAGGAGCGAGCTCTACTCCTCTCTCGTTTATTGGAGGATCGGAAAGACGCTCGAATGGACCGTCTGGACAGCGCCGCCAGGCGACGCGTTCTCCACGACATCAAGATCTATCTCGGGTTAGTTTCGTCCTGACAGCGAACCATCGGTAAACTTGATCTAATTTTATCCAGTCCCTTGATGTATTTCGGCATCGTGAACACCGGGTACGCCTCATCTTTCTTTACACCCACAATTTTGAAGCAGCTGGGATGGACCGCCATTAGAGCCCAGGTCATGAGCATTCCGATCTATATCGTTGCATGTGTTATAGCGTTGGTGACGGCACTCGCCAGTGACAGGCTGCGCCACCGTTTCGCCTTCACCCTTGCTGGATGTGTCATTGCAACCATTGGATATGTTCTTCTACTCTGCCAAAAATCGATTCCCACCGGGGCACACTACTTCGCTCTGTTCGCGATCACCGGCGGTGGATACATGACACAGCCAGTCCTGATGGGTTGGTTGAGCAACAATATGGCTGGACACTACAAACAATCGATTTCCACGGCCATGCAGATCGGCATCGGCAATTGTGGTGGACTTGTTGCTAGCAATATCTTTTTTACCTCGGAAGCACCGACATATCCCACTGGCTTTGGTATTAGTTTGGGCATGGTGTGGATCTGCGGTATATCCTGCGTTGTATTCGTTGCCTGGCTCGCCCGGGAGAATCGATTGCGGGAAGAAGGCAAGAGAGACGATCGATATGAGCTACCGCCTGAGGAACTTAGCAACCTTGGAGACGACCACCCTAGCTTTAGGTTTACGTATTAGAGGAGGCGGGGATGTTTTTATTGTCGTCTCGTCAATGCTATCATTATTCTACAACCATCTCCAAGATCTCCAGCACTTGTGCCTTCTCTTTCAGAGGTACCGGGTTGCACTGGCACCACCGATCATGTAGGCTGTTCGCCGCCAGTCCGTCGAGCTGGTCGCGGCCTACGCGCACGTCGGCTAGGGATCTGGGCATGCCGAGCTGGCGGATGATAGCGTCCAGAATGTCGCCCAAATCGGAGGCGGAGACGTCGACCGAACGCTGGCTTAGGACTTCAGATACGATGGGGTCCTGAATTAGGAACTCGCGTACGCGGGCCTGGCGCTCGCGGTTGGCGTTATGCGCGGCGTTGTACTTGCATACGGCTGGTAGAAGAATGCAGCTGGTTTCGCCATGGCCGACACCTAGAGGACCGAGCTTTCATTGTGTGTTAGACAGGCGTAAAATGAAGCGGAGAGAAACATAGTACCTGGTGGCCTATCCCGTGGCTCGCTCCTAGCTCGACCGATCCGCTCGTGCAAGCTGCCATGGCATCGACCGACCCTAGTTGGCACTGTAAATGGGCATCGCGGTCCTTGCGGTCCTTCTTGCACCGCAGCAGACCTGGCACTAGACGACCGAGGGCGTTCTGCGCCATCTCATCAGATGCAGGTGTCGTGCCCACGATAGCGCACAGCGTCTCGACACAATGGTCAACGGCACGCACGCCAGTGCTGAGCCAGATGGAGTCCGGCGTGGTTTCCGCCAACTCGGGGTCGAGGATGACGAGCTGGGGCCCGCGTGTCGGTGCCTGGAAGCTGTACTTGCGGCGCGAGCGGTCTTCAGTACCACCAGCAAAATTGGAATACTCTCCTGCAGAGAGTGATGTTGGCACGGCGATTATGGGCACGGTGGGTGCAATGATATCAGCGCGTTTGTTAGGACCCTGGGCGAGCGTCTCGAGCTCGGCTGGCGTACTGACGTTGTTGGCCAGGGCCTGCAGGCGAGGTATTTAGTAATTGAAAGACAAAAAGCAGACCAAGTAACCTACCAATGCGATGATTTTCGCCCCGTCCGTTAAGCTGCCTGCTCCCAGCGTCAAGAGAAGGTCTGCCTGTACTTTGCGTGCGTCGGCCACGATTTCCAGCACCTCCGACCACAGCGTGTGAGATTGCATGCCGATACGCTGACCGACCACCTTTTCTGGACCCAGCGCAGCAGTCAGCCTGTCTAGAGCATCGGTGTTACGAGCCAGCGATCCGGAGCAGATGACATATACTCGCGAGGCGCCGAAGGTGCCGGCGACATGGCGGGCAGCAGCGGCCGGAAAAGCGATGCCATGCGATAGCAGAGGGCGCTCGCGGCCAGTAAATGCTGGATGCACATTTTCAGACATGATTGATGTAGGAGAGAGTAATAGACAAGAGAGCAAGAAGCAATTATATCATCTCCATGTGGGATAACCGTATGTGGGGCTGGTCGTAGAATGTGGGTCCGTCATTGTATAGGATTCCAGAGTGGAACGATTATTTACTTCTCAATGCAGGTATTCCGGATGTTCCCTTAACTATATTTTACTCAATCTAGATACCTTATGCGAGGTTGACTAGAATGATCCATTATACAATCTCGTGGTAATGTCTCCAGTATAGTTCTTCATTACTACTTGTGGTTACTATCAGCATCCATCCAACCCATGCACGCCTCCATCCGCAGTGTACTTGCATGTTCCTGTCCCTGGGGTCGTCGAGTTTTCCGTCGGATATAACACGATGTTGTCAAAGTCGATATTGTAGCACGGATGCACGTTCGAGCAGATAACCTCCGACACCACATCGGAGTCTCTGTCCAGGTACCCGGTGAAGTTGACAAAGGCGATATTCGAGACACTCATCTTGCTCGTGCCCGCATAAGAGCCATTGTCACCACTATCCTGGCTGATGGCTGGCCCCATGCCGGCACCGTACAGCTCAAAGTTAGAGAACAAGATATTGCGGACGCTGCCCCAGCCGCCGCCATTGGGCTTTCCGGCACTCTCGTACGAGGATTGTGGCACTTGGCCGCCCATCCAGGTCTTGATATACGCGCTGTTGTGCATATCGTCGTTATATGAAACGACCTGGTAATTGTGTTAGCGATTAGAAGAGAAGCGGGATTAAAATAGGCCATACCTTGACTTGGTCAATCTGGATATTCGCGACGCTGGCGTCTTCTAGGTATTGGCCCAGACTGCCAATGGCAATGCCGTTTCCTCCGTGACAGGTAACGTTGCGAATGTCGACATTGTACGATCGTGGCTTGATGGCTATGCAGTCGTCTCCGCCCTGATAATAGAAATTGGTGAGCTGGACGTTCTCCACATCCATCGTATCTAGACTCAGTTAGTCGAAGATCAAGCAGCACCAGACACCAATTACATACCAAACCCGTCCGTGTTCTGCACCCAATTGTCTCCGTACGGCGCATCCACGGAAGTTGCATTACAAATGATATTGTTGAAGCGCATGTTGGTCCCATTCATGATATTCAGACTCCACAGCGGGGGATCCTTGACGTAGAAGTTGTCGACATTGACATCCGACACATTCCAGAATACAAAAGGCATCGGGCGACCCGGCTGCGTGTGGCCCTGTTCAGCAGTGTACCAGGCATTTCCATTGCCGTCGATGCCGCCGGTCCCGAAACCGTCAATGGTGATGTTGTCTCCTGTAATTATGAAGCCAGCGGCGTGGTTTTGGAACGCGATGGGGTACGAATTGGCCCGCCAATAGCTCAAATCATCGCTGAGCTGCGAATGGATGTTAGATATATTTAAGAAACAAATTTGCCTATGCACTCACAGTCCATTTCCCGCGCCACTCAATCACCACGTTGTTGATCACAGGGTTCAATCGCGTTGCAATCCAGTAAGACTGGTCCTCTGGGAAGACCACAGTGCCGCCATTGTCGCATTCACGAAAGGCGCGCAGGATGTTGGGTACGTCGTCCTTTTGGTGACCGTTTGCCTTGACGACACAGACATTATGATCACGTCCCGGGACTCCTCGGGCTAGCCCCAGAGAGATGAATGGGAGAATTTGCAGCAGCCGCATTATGTTTCAACGTTCATAACTGCCGATTGTATTCAGACAACCTGGGCCTTTCTAGCTTATATCCATTGATTGAACACCTCCGCAAACTGACCTCGGTGATCTTTTAGCCGAAGAGACGCTAACGGTTCAATTGCGGAGAAACGCAATGGCGGGGAATTGACCGGGGTAAATGAGAAGTTGCAGCACAAGCGCTGATTTCGAAGTCTCGCGAATGCTTGATGCGCCGATCCTTGCCTCAATCCTATCATCATTGACCGGGATTCTTCCACCAATGGGTTTGATGATGCATTTCCGATGCTTCTCCCACCGGAGCACCTAGTGCAATTGCTCCGTCCGCAAATGAATTGTTTCGCGGTATTACAGCCCGAGGGTTGCCCCATGACTGTCTATTCCCTTAAATCCCCCTGACGTTGATTACGGGCTATATGTAGGCCGTCCTGACATGATCTACCGGCCCCATCTGCTGCTCATTGATCTTCAAACGCAATGGCGCGAATCAGTACTCTTTTTGGCCTCTGGTCTCTTATATCTGTTTCTCTAGCCCAGAATTGCTGGAGGGATACTACCTGTTCCGGCCCGACAGACACCGCATTCCGCGGGCCATGGGAAGACAACATCTATGCACCGTCCTCTCGAACGGTACAGCCCAAGACAACTTTATCTGATCTCAAGAACAATGCAGACACAAACCCATCCCATCCAGAGACTGCAACCCTGCACGGCAATGGGTCTCTGGTGGTATTCGACTTTGGAAAAGAAGTCGGTGGCATCCTTCACCTCAAGTACAGCGCCACTGGTAGCGGCGCTGTGGGCATTGCCTTCTCCGAGGCTAAGAACTGGATCGGAGAGTGGTCCGACGATTCCAATTCTCTGTGGCAGGACGGTGCCATATATGCGAACTTCTCGTCCGCCGGACAAGAAAGCTATGTCATGCCCGACCCGAAGCTGCGCGGCGGCTTCCGCTACTTGACTCTCTTCCTGGTGACGAGTGATTCTGCCGAAGTGAAAATAGAAGATATCAGCGTCGAGTTGGATTTCCAGCCTACCTGGTCCAATCTTCGCGCGTACCAGGGATACTTCCACTCCAGCGACGAATTGCTGAACCGGATCTGGTATTCCGGTGCATACACACTCCAAAGCAACCAGGTGCCTGTCAATACGGGACGTGTAACAAAGGGAGTTACGGTAGGATGGGCGAACAATGGCACCTTAGGACCTGGAGACACTATCATTGTCGACGGTGCCAAGCGAGACCGCGCCGTGTGGCCGGGCGACATGGGCATTGCGGTGCCGTCGACCTTTGTCAGTCTTGGAGACCTGGAAAGTGTGCAGAATGCTCTCCAAGTTATGTACAACACACAAGTACGTTACATTTATAACCTTAAAGAGTCTATACTAAACAAGACAATAGGACAAGACAACAGGAGCCTTTCCTGAGTCGGGCCCTCCACTCAGCCAGACAGGCTCAGATACATACCACATGTGGACGATGATCGGAACGTACAACTATGTGCTGTTTACAAACAACACCGACTGGCTTCTGGAGAACTGGGACGGATACCTCTTGGCTATGAACTATATCTACGGCAAGGTGACTTATCCCAGCGGCCTGATGGACGTTACCGGTCTTCGCGACTGGGCCAGATATGGGCAGGGGTACAACAACTCAGAGGCTCAGATGATGTATGTATTGCACCTTTGCATGGCATAATATCTAACTAACAGAATGACAGCCTTTATCATACTCTGCGCACCGGTGCTGATCTCGCCTCATGGACCGGAGATTCCACAAATCTCTCAAGCACTTGGAACGACCGCGCCGCCAACCTAAAGGATGCCATCAACACGTACTGCTGGGATGAGACATATGGTGCCTTTAAGGACAATGCCACCGACACCACGCTGCACCCACAAGACGCCAACAGCTT